GCATTGCATCAGTGTCTCAGCAATGGATGCTCTGCAGTGAATGGGTGCCGTCAGAATGAGAGCTGATAAAAACATCACAATAATCCACAGCACTCCAGTCCATCAGTTAACATCTGGAGAAGACACAAGCTGAAACACATCCAGCATTAAGACGTTTTTAACTCAAATACATAGAGTCCATAATCCATAATAACTCTTCCGTCAGTGAAAAAGTGCATCTCCTGTTGTCTCCCACATCAAAATCCAGCCACATATTTGTTTAGAGCTGTTTTGGATACTTTTTCACTGGAGGAAGAGTTATTATGGATTATGGACTCGATGTATTTGAGTTAAAAACGTCTTAATGCTGGATGTGTTTCAGCTTTTGTCTTCTCCGCTTCCGTCAGTGAAAAAGTGCATCTCCTGTTGTCTCCCACATCAAAATCCAGCCACATATTTGTTTAGAGCTGTTTTGGATACTTTTTCACTGGAGGAAGAGTTATTATGGATTATGGACTCGATGTATTTGAGTTAAAAACGTCTTAATGCTGGATGTGTTTCAGCTTTTGTCTTCTCCAGATGTTCACTGATGGACTGGAGTGCTGTGGATTATTGTGATGTTTTTATCAGCTGTTTGGACTCTCATTCTGACGGCACCCATTCACTGCAGAGCATCCATTGCTGAGACACTGATGCAGTGCTACATTTCTCCAAACCTGATGAAGAAACAAACTCATCCTGATCTCGGATGGACTGAGGGTGAGCACATTTTCATTTTTGGCTGAACTGTTCTTTTAACACTTTCAGTAAAACTGAAATAAAATCCTGAAGCTCATTCACAATTACAGATGATCAACAGCAACATGTTAATTTACAGCAGCTTTGACGAGCTCATATTAACTGAGACACAGAGTATTCACAGTTAGAATTTTCTGCTTGACCTGGTTCTGCTGTATGACTAATGAATCTTTCAAAGATACACATGTACAAAAAAAAGCTCTTGGGCATTAAATGCATCATCTGCTGAAATACATGTGAGCCAGTGTGAGTGGATCAGCACGAGCAGAGCCTGCTGGAACACATCAGCAGAGGGAGCTCTGAACCAGACGCTCAAACACGCCTGAGTCACGTGACGCCTCTGACAGCAGCCATCACTGATGATCACACACCAGACCCTCCACATGACCAGCCCATCACAGCATGATCTGACAGCGTCACTCTTCACCTGTGTGACCCCTCTCACACACACACATCAGCGCACCGCCACCTGTGCCACAGCAGGAGACACGCTCACATTACAAGAAACAGAAAGAGGAAATATCACACCGACACCGAGTAACACTGAGTGAGTGTGTGAGTGTGCGCGTAGTCACATGAGTGGAAAAGAGTGTCCAGCTCTGTTTATATCTCTGTGCTCCAGTAATGAAAATCCTGCGGTTGCTAAGAGACACTTCCTGTGTCTTCCCTCACACTCACTCACACGTGCACTCACTCACACGAGTGCACTCACACTCGCACTCACACTCAAACACACCATCTGAAGAGAGAAAAGCAGATCTGCTGTCTGTGTGTTCTGATGAGTCCGGGTCTGACGCACACGTACACAGAGCAGAACTCCCAGCATGCCCTGCGGCGGACAGCAGCTCTACTGTAACTCAGGAGCAGTGACTGACTGTGGCTCTGCATCACCATGGAGACACGCTCACCTCTGCTGCCTTTTTTAGCTCTTAATCTGTGAATGAATCAAACACGACGCTGCAGGAGACAGACGAGACTCCTGAACCACAGCACCTCTGCTTTAGTTCACAATATTAACCTGTAGCTGTGCTCCACTTTTCAACACACCTCACAGGACCAGAGAGAGACACACGTGTGATCATGTGTCCAGTCACACAGAGGAACCATGGGTATCTGAGGCTTCACACACCCCTCTGCGTTGATGAACACCTGTGTGTGTGTGTGTGTGTGTGTGTGTGTGTGTGCGTGTGTGTGAGGGTTTGAGTGTGTGTGTGTGTGTGTGAGACTACGTGTGTGTGAGAGAGACTATGTGTGAGTATTTGACTCTGAGTGACTGTGTGTGTGCGTGCGACTGCGTGTGTGTGTGTGTGTGTGTGTGCGTGTGTGTGAGGGTTTGAGTGTGTGTGTGTGTGTACGTGTGTACGTGTGTGTGAGAGAGACTATGTGTGAGTATTTGACTCTGAGTGACTGTGTGTGTGCGTGCGACTGCGTGTGTGTGTGTGTGTGTGCGTGTGTGTGAGGGTTTGAGTGTGTGTGTGTGTGTGTGTGTGTGTGTGTGAGAGACTGCGTGTGTGTGAGAGAGACTATGTGTGAGTATTTGACTCTGAGTGACTGTGTGTGTGCGTGCGACTGCGTGTGTGTGTGTGTGTGAGAGACTGCGTGTGTGTGAGAGAGACTATGTGTGAGTATTTGACTCTGAGTGACTGTGTGTGTGCGTGCGACTCTGCGTGTGGGTGTGTGTGTCCCTCACCTGTGATGAAGGCTCTTCAGGAGCGTCCGTGTCGCTGTACGGTGCGCCTCCTGCAGGTGAACATCACACATTCAGATCAAACAGCATCAGCTGTACTGTTAAAAGCATTTCTAGCACTCAAGGCCGTGTGTGGTTTACCACGGTAAGAACTCCCTGAAGCGTGGTAAAATCACTGTGAGAGGCATTAAACAGCAGCAGCACTGTGACGTCAGACAGGCCCTTCAGCACGACTCAGATCACACACTGATTCATCTGCAGGGCCAGCAGCTGTTTGTCTTTAATTAGCAGCATCAGCTGACGAGATTTCTGTTTGGCCCATGAGTGTTGAGATCAGGACTTTTATTTTGACCGCACTGAACCGGAGCGCAGACACACAGGACATTCCCAGGGTGCTTCTCAATTCCTCGTTTCCTTTCCTCGCGTCTTAGCTCCACCCCCTTAGGATACGAGGCAGGGATGCAAGGAAAGGAAGGAATCAAAGGATGAACACTGGAATATTCTTGACCACTCAAGCATCACTTAAAAGTGTCATCAGCTGTGCTAAAGGGATCTGCCCTTATGTTTGCTAAGGCATTCATAAAAATATTAATAAAGCAAGATAACCTGTTGAAATAAGTGATACGTATGGTTTATTTAAACTGCAACGGTAAAATATAAATGTAAATTATTACGACAGATGTGAAGGGGGAGGAGAATGTATAACGTGCATCACGTTTATTCGATAAAACACTTCCACAGAGGATACAGCTGTGGAGCGAGGAAACCAGGAGGGATATAGAGAAGCAGCCCCAGTCAGCTCAATGAGCAGATTACTGATGAACTGCTGCTCAGTGTTCACTTGCCTTCAGTCACCTGCCCAACACATTCTGTGATTGTAGAAAATACCCTTACAGAATTAAGAAGCTCCTATCTGAAGTTTAAATCTTTTTATCTCACAGATTTATTTTTAATCAGTCATTTTTTTTCATATTGATGCATTTTTCAAGTAATATTTTATACAATTATTTGAGTAAATATTATGTTCACTGCAGACATTATGCGTGTTATTTACTTTGATATCATGTAGTCCTATAACGGCCTCTCTGCTCTGTAATATGAGGGGTGTGAGAGTAGATAGTACAAGGATAGTAATATCAGTACATTTTGACATTTTTAGGTCCCCATGAGGAAACAAGCTTATAAATCACATGAAGCATTTTGAGGATGTAAAAATGCCTGTAGTTTAGTGTGAGGGGTAGGGTTAGAGTAAGAGGATAGAAAATAGTCAAAAAACCATTATGCCTATGGAATGAATGTGTGTGTGTTGTGTGTGTGTTTTGTGTGTGTGTGTGTGTGTGTGTGTGTGTGAGTGAGTGAATGAGTGAGTGTGTGTGTGTGTGTGTGTGTGTGTGTTATGTGTGCACGAGTGAGTGCGCATGAGTGAGTGTGTGTGTGTGTGTGTTATATGTGTGCACGAGTGAGTGAGTGAGTGTGTGTGTGCGCGTGCATGAGGTTGTGTGTGTGTGTGTTATATGTGTGAGTGAGTGAGTGTGCATGAGTGAGTGTGTGTGTGTGTGTGTGTGTGTGTGTTATGTGTGCACGAGTGAGTGCGCATGAGTGAGTGTGTGTGTGTGTGTGTTATATGTGTGAGTGAGTGAGTGTGTGTGTTATATGTGTGCACGAGTGAGTGAGTGAGTGTGTGTGTGCGCGTGCATGAGGTTGTGTGTGTGTGTGTTATATGTGTGAGTGAGTGAGTGCGCATGAGTGAGTGTGTGTGTGTGTGTGTGTGATATGTGTGCACGAGTGAGTGCGCATGAGTGAGTGTGTGTGTGTTATATGTGTGCACGAGTGAGTGAGTGAGTGTGCATGAGTGAGTGTGTGTGTGTGTGTTAT